TACATTCTCTTCCTCCTCCTCCTGTCTTTTCTATCGATTTATGGATCTATCCCAAGTCAGCTCAAGATCCACTTCTGAAAAATGTCACTTCCACTTCCTAGAAAATATTCTGTTCAAAATCTCCTAAATTGATTTGTAGAGTACTAAATATTTTTATGTGTGTATGTTGTTTCGCCATTTAGCAATAACTTCCCTAAAAAGGAGATTGTACCTGCCACCCATCAACAAAACACCTAGTGGCAACTGAACAAGTAAATGGGCAAGAGCTAAGGAAACTACCAAGCCTCCTCTTCCCTGAAGTAAAGACCAAAGGGTTGGGGGAAAGCGGGGTGTGATAGGAGCCTGGAATCAACTGGGAATTAAATATGCATAAATTTGAAACTGTTATCTTTTACTAAAAAGAAATACAAAAACTTAACCTGTATATTTTCTAAAAATAAAGGGTTTAGTTTCTCTGATTATAAAAGAACTACTTGCTTTGTGAATCAAGAATAGAAAATGTAAATTTTTTTAATTGAAACATAATTGATTATACATATTTGTGGAGTACAGAGTTGAATATCAACATCTGTGCACAATATGTGGTGATAATTAGCATGCTCATCATTACACAATGTAATCATTCTTTGTGACCCTTTACCAATTTCTTACTAACCCCATTTCCCATTTCTCACATTCCCCATTTCCTATCTCTGGTAACCTCAGTTGTGTTTTCTCCTTTTGTAAGTTCAATGTACTATTGTGATTGTTGTAGCTTTCAAAAAATGTAAAAATTTACTTAATTAACAGCACTTTCTTTCCCCTAGATGAGCAGTTCTAATTTTTTTGATTTAAGGATTTTTTAAATTCTTTTTTTTTCTTTTTTTTTTTTTTTTGTCTTTTGTCTTTTTCCGTGTCCGGCAACGGATTGCAACCCTCAGTGTTGCCCCCGTACTGGACCAGGGACCGGCAACGGGATTGCAACCCTCGGTGTCGCTCCCGTGCCTCGCTCAGCCAGTGAGCGGGAACCGGTCTGTATGTGGGATCCGAACCCTGGGGCGGGAGCGCAGCCGCACTTCCCAAGCGGCGCACTTCTCCAGTGCGCCTCCGGGCCGGCCCGGATTTTTAAATTCTTTAAAAAATTTTTGAAGACCCAAAGAGGTTTAGTGGGCATTATTTAGTGGGCATAATATTTATTGTATTACAAATTAAAACTGAGAAATTTTTAGAATTTTCAATAGCCCTTTAATAATGCTTTATTTTTCTTTACTGTGAATATGCAGCACTAAAAAGACAATAACCAAGAATATAGTTGGGTACTACTGTCTTGATCTGTGATAATGCACCAATTTTACTCTCTATTACTGTTGCACTATCACTGCACACATTAGAGAAGGTAAATAATATCTTAGAATTATTAATAAAACAATTATGACATTGTAGGCCCTATAAAAGGGCCTTGGGGACCCTGTTATGGGATAACTGTGCCCCTCTAAAATTCATATGTTGAAGCCCGAATCCCCAATGTGACTATATTTGGAGACAGTGTCCTTAAGGAGGTAAATAAGATAAAATAAAATAATAAGGGTTGGGCCCTAATCCAATAGGACTTCAGTCCATATAAGAAGAGGAAGAGACAGCAGGAGTATACACGTACAGAGAAAAGTCTATGTGAGGATACAGGACAAAGGTGGCTGACTAAAAGCCAGGAAGAGAGGCCGCACCAGAAACCAACCCTGACAGTACCTTGATCTGGACCTCCAGCTTCTAGAACTGTGAGAAAATAAATTTCTGTTGTTTAAGCCACTCAGTCTATGGTATTCTGTTATGGTAACCTGAGCAGACTCCTAGGGTTCAGCAGACCATACCATGAGAATTTTTACTCTAGATATATATGTCTTATTATCTCTTTCTTTGCTCTGAAGGAAGAGGGCAAAGATCCTTTCATAGGCAAAGACAGAGATCTGGAGCCTAGGAAAAGAAAATAAGATGATATCCAAGAATACTAAAGAAAATAAATCCCATGATAAAAATGGAAAAGTAAGAAAGTTCAGTAGGTAATCCAAATAAGCTAAGCGCTCTCATCAATCTACATACACTTATATCTCCCAAATCCCACATTACTTAGAATATGCTATAAAGTTTAAGCCTCCCCTGCTCATACCCTTACTGTTTATCACTTTTCTGAGTTTTCACCTCTACCTCCTTCTAGCCCTTTGAACCCTCATCACTTGTTTGACCTTATAGAATTTGGCTAGAAAGATATGAGGTGACACTTCCACCAATCAAAAGTCAATTTTCTCTTTGAGCTTTCAGATGCTTTCTAAAATATTATACTGGTTGTCCTCAGCTTCTTCTCAATATCCTTCCAATGCCTGGTAAATGTGGACATAACAGCTCAGTCCTTATCCCTCTGCTCTTCTGTGCCCATGTGCATACACATGAACATATACACATGTGCACACGGTCATGCACACATGAACACATGCACTCACACACATTCTTTCCTTGGAGAAGTACCAATGTTCTTACACATTCAATTTAATTAAAAAATCTATTGAGTATCTTATATATGACATCTCAAATTCAGTCTACTAGGAAAGACGAAGGCATAAAGCTAGCTATAAAAGCTAGAAATCATAAAGAAAAAGTATAATTTTGACCATGTAACAATGAAAAATTACTAATAATGAAAAATGATCCTATAATTCCACAAATGATCAAATTAGTATCATCAGAAAAACAGGCAAAGAATAAAAATAAGCAATGCATAAAAGATGATATGCAATGGACAATAAAAAATGAAAATATATCTAACCTAATTAATAAATGTATGAATAAAATTAAAATTATAGCAAAATAATTTCTCTTCTATCAGATTGGCAAAAGATTAAAAAGACTAACAAAATCCAGCATTGGTAAAGGCCTAGGGAAGTATGCAATGCTCCACATAACTGTCGGCAATGTAAATTGGTACAGCCTTTCTGGAGTTACCAAAATAATCAAAATAAGGGCTGGCCAATTAGCTCAGTTGGTTAGATCACGATGCTGATAACACCAAGGTCCAGGGTTCGATCCCTGTATCGGCAAGCTGCCATTAAAAAAAAAGAGAGAAAGCTGAATGGCCAAAATAATTAAAATTTACAATCCACCTTTTAAGAATCTATCTTTATCATATAATCAAAAGTGCAGAGATACAAGCATAAATATAGGGCAGTAGTTCTTAACTAGGGGCTGTATTAACTCCAAGAAACACTTGGTAATGTTTGAAGACATTTTTGGTTGTCACATCTCAGGTTGGAGAGAGCTACTGATGTCTAGTAGGCAGAAGCCAGAGATACTACTGAACACCCTACAATGCACAGGACAGCCTACACAGCAAAGAGTTATCAGACTCAAAATGTCAAAAGAGCAGAGGTTGAAAAACTGTAGTATAGGAGGATCAATAGTTTTTACTGTAGTGGCTACTGTTGCTGCTCTCCAGAAGGGAAAAAAATTAATTCTTATTTAGGTCAAATTCCTGTATACTGATGGGCTATGTAACTAGCAGGTGGGGGCCAATGTGCATTAAAAGGTCGAACTGCTGTAAAGTTCTCCCTCTCCTATGTTCATCATCCCTTTCGTTTGATAGTAAGTTGGTACAGTCTGATTTCTCAGGATTGGCTGAGCATTTTCCTCTTATATAGTTAATGTGTCAAAACACATAGAGACTACAGGTGTCACTAGTACTACCAAGTATCTATCACCCTGTGAACAGAACTTGACAGCCAGCTAAAAGAGTAGGTCAAACATTAGGTTTGGGGAAATGAGACAAAGGTGTGTATTAATTCCTAACACAGCCTCCTAGGATACAGGAATACAGAGATCAGTAACAAACTGGACCCAAAGGGAATGCAAATTCAGGAGCTTTGCTTAGAAAGTTGCCTGAACACACACATACACAAAAAATGAAATCTGAATCTCTAGAGAATACCCACGTTCAATTAAACACTGGAATGCCATGGCTAAAGTGTTTAAAGAAAAAACAAAAAATCAAGAGATTTTAAATACACCAGATATACATTAAGGGGACAATGGAAGTCTCAGGAAAGATGAAGACAAAAGTGCCATTATGGTAATTTTCTAAATATTTCAAGAAGATAAGGTGTTTCAAATGCCATATTCCAGGAAAGGTGCCAGATGAAAAGGATTAATGAAAGGATTAATGAACTCCCTGCCCACAACAAGATATGGGAATCACTGTAACAATTCTTCTCATCTCATGATGAAAGTGGGGTAGGTAAAAAGAGATGGAAGCTGGGACAGTGCAAAGAAGGGTTATGTAAAAAATTCTAGCTTAGTTAACTAGAAGAAAGGTATCATGAACCCAAAGTAGCATTTCTTTTCCAATATCTTGTTATCATCTGTTACTACACATGCAGAGAGGTATTTTCCCTAAATAGCCTAAATTTCATTATATACATGTAACTCTTGCAAAGATATGAGTAGAAAGGTCCTGTATATCCTATATTTTTACAAATCAAATCTCATTCTTTATATGTAAAACCAAAATATTTCATTTAATGAAATCCTAATATGTGTCATTCTTCAAAGACTTAATTTCATCTTAAAATCAAATTTTTTACATATGTGAAACAAGTGAAAAACATTTTTAAAACACACAATAAAAAATCAAATTTTTTGTATAAAATTAATTTTTACATATTTGTGAAACAAGTGAATAAACAAAAGCTTTAAAAACACAATAAAGATAAGAATTAAATTTGCCCAAATTGTTTTCCATAATCCCAGACTCATAATATTGAACATGACATTTAATAATAACTTGAACATGACATTTGTTGTACAAACCAAACAAATCAAATTATATAAAATTTGGCAATAGCCATAAAAATAAAAATTCCAAATTATTGCCAGTTTATTATAACAAGATGAACCAAAGACAAGCTTTTCTTAGTCTCAGTTTGGGCTAACTTTGACCTTGCTGAGAAAGAATTTTGTAGAAAGGGTAGGAATTTTACCTGGAACAAATGGAAAGAATTTTGTAGAGCAGGTACAAGGAAGAAGCACTGAGGAGTCTGAAGAGGCTGAGAGGATGGCTTATTTTGGGAAGAGAAGGTCAGGAAGAGGTAGGATGTGCCAGCTCAAAGAGGAACACGAAAGCCTGAAAATGAACAAAAGTATTTAAAGGCAATTTATAGGAAGTAACCCTTCCTGAATCACATAAAATGTAAACTATCCTCCTCACCCCACAAAATACCTTTAGGAATAGTCTACATTATTTATCACCAAAAATATAATTTTAGAATTAAATTTTTCGCTTGTTTTCTTGTATGTAAGAGGTTTTAAAAAGAAGTTCAAGGGCACAAAATAGTAGTTTAAGGATCAAAACCAATTTGCTCCCCCAATCAATATAATTACACTATGAAAATACACTATGAAAATACACTATGAAATTGAATTACAGAGTACTCTGTCTCCTCCAGAAGACAACATATTTCTTCAAGTCAACTAACAAGTTAGTTCACTGCTTAACTCAAGGTCATAATAAAGCCCAGGTTTCTGGGTCTGGACCCCTATGATCCATTAACTTTCTTCTATGCTGAATTCACAGGCTATATGCCTAATCTTAGGCAAGCTTTAAAGTAGAGAGTAGTCAGTTGCTCAGATAAGGGTAGTGAAGAGACTATGAATTTGATCAATGAAAAGTCATCACTACTACTATTGGTAAAATTTAAAGTATGTGTCCCACTGATATTGAAGCTAAGGCCATAAGAGTTTGTGGGGAAAAGGTCAAAGAAACTTTAATAGTTTGGAAAACTAATCTTTTTCAGTTTCATGTAAGTTTTTTCAAGAAAGGTCACCATTTAACTGTAAATCTAAAATCTACACAATGGAATACTACTCAGCTATAAAAACGAATAAAATACTGCCATTTGCAACAACATGGATGGACCTTAAGAGAATTCTATTAAGTGAAACAAGTCAGGCACAGAAAGAGAAATACCACATGTTCTCACTTACTGGTGGGAGCTAAAAATAAATTTTAAAAATACACAAACAACCAAAGGTCATTGTTGGGTGGGAGGGAGGGGAGGGAGGGGAGGGAGGGAGGTTTCGGTAATAGGCCACAATAATCAACCACATTGTATATCCACAAAATAAAATTTAAATAAAATAAAATAAACCCAAGTGAATATTTTCCAAGAATAAATTAAGGACTGCATTCATAAAATAATTACTACTTAGGACACAATTATCTAATTTTAATGATGCTTAAATTGAAGCAATTAAATAATTAACAGGGGGAAGGAAAGAATCTATGAAAGGTCCTGTTAATTGTCGGCCATTAGTAGAAGAGTTTAAAAAACCACACATTTTATTTAAATTCCTCTTATGTTTAAATCTAACAAAAGCAATAACGGTAACATAAGTAGTAAGTAACATCAAATTCTTAATCATAAATGAAAAGACAGTACAAAATGTCTATTCTTTCCTATTTAACCATCTGGAACATATTACAAACTCCCTGAAAGCAAGAAAAATCTGTAAGTATGATTATACTCTGGGACTATTAACATGACATGCTTCAATAAATACTCCTAATAGGATCTGCTGATATAACAATTGGCACTAAAACTGATGGATTTTCATTATTTAGCTATTTGTTCTTATGGACTATATACTGAAGAAAACCAATTAATTGTCTATTGAAAAGAGGAGGCAGCAAAAAAAAAAAAAACATGCAGCAAGGGCAAAGTACGGCAGGTTGTAGAGGCAGAACGGAAAAAATGAGCAAAGATTTGCAAAGGCTGTGTTCAAATTATACTTTCTCTCCCTCTCTTCCTTCCTTTCCTTCCCCACCAAATCAGGTATAACTATCTGTGCCCTGGTCAAAAGTGAGTTGGTTAGGATTAGGAGAATATATTAAATTAAATCTTGAATCAGCTAAGTTCCAGTTGGCTGAAGGTCTTCAGGCCGGATCACAAACTAGTAGCAAGAAAAAACATTCAAAATTTACTCTGTTCTTGATGGTTTGGGATATTTGATACATAGCTACTTAACTGGAAAAGTTAAGCAAGGCAAGAACCCCATGAACTAGGATTTTTAGGAACACAGTTCCAGCAGCTGAGCAACAGAGGCAAGAGGGTTGCTGTGATAGTCTTATCCAGATATAATGAGCAGTTGGACTAATCAGCAAATTGGAGTGAATGAGACACTGGACTAATTCAACAAGAGTTGGGAGTCAAAAAGAGAAGTCAAATTGCCTGTCTGCACATGTGAATTACAAAAGTAATTCATGTTTATGGTACAACTTTAGAAAATACAGGTCAATAAAAAGAATAAAATTAAAACCACCCATTACTGTACTATCTAGAATTAAGGTGAATATCTGCACATGCATTCCTCTACAAATAAAGATACATACACAGTTTTGTTTTACTGATTAGGAGTCACATACTGTTTAAGAGCATCTTTTTCACTAAATTTATGTATGTAGCTTCTCATGTCATTAAATACTATTCAACATAATTTCAATGTCTGTAAAGTATGTGTGCATGTATGTGTGTGTTTCATACTTTTTAAGCAATGCAGTGGGACTTTAGATAGGTTCCTTTTTTTTTGCTATTAAAAACAATACTGAGGCATCTTCTGGCCAACTTTGTTTATATTCAGGATTATACCCTCTGAATAAGATTCTACAAACACAAAGGTTTCTGGCATGAGGAACTTAATGCCATTTAACCAAGCCTGGCTTACAGGAGATAACAGATGTCTGAGGGAGAGGCTAATGAATTCACTTATGTACACATTAATTATGAGGTGGCAATAGGACTTCCAAATAGGTATGTTCAACTGACTGTCAAAGAAGTGTGATACATAGGTTTTTAGAATCCCTAACATATTGATGGTAATGGAGTGTATGAGATAGTCAAGGAAAAGTATGAAGAAAGAGAGGAGAATGAATTATTATGGAAACATAGCAATATTTAAGGAGGGAAGCAATTAAAGCTGGAAGAATAAGTAAAACACAAAGGAAATGGATAAAGGTAAAAGGAGGGCCGGCCCGGTGGCGCACTGGATAGTGCACCGCTTGGGAAGCCGCCCGAGGGTTCGGATCCCACATACAGACCGGTTCCCGCTCACTGGCTGAGCGAGGCGCGGGAGCAACACCGAGGGTTGCAATCCCGTTGCCGGTCCCCGGTCCGGTACGGGGGCAACACTGAGGGTTGCGATCCGTTGCCGGACACGGAAAAAGACAAAAGACAAAAAAAAAAGAACTGAATCTGCCAGCACCTTGATTTTGGACGTCCCAGCCCCCAGAACTGTGAGAAACAAAGGTCTATTGTTTAAGCCACCCAGCCCATGTTATTTGTTATAGTAACCTAAGCTGACTAAACGTTGCCCTATTTTGAGTGGTGTGTAAATTTCCCCATCAGAGCCCTTCCCTCTCTCTCCCTGCACTGCTGTAGACCCCTCCTCTGCCAAAAATAGGCCTGTGCTCTTTTTCCTTCCTACAGGTTGTTTCCTTTTCCTGAATGTAGAGAGATCATAATGTCCAGCTTCAAGAATTATTTTCGGACCTGCCAAAACAGTCACAACAAACTCTTAGAAAAGTACCCAGAGGTAGTCAAGAGTTCTTGCTAAAATAAACCCTAATGAGGTATGAGTACTTCCCTCCAAAGGTACCTAGAATTCAGTATACCCCAACATCACCACAATCATAAAAGCTACATATTTTTATGCTGAGTGTTTGTACCACCCTCCCCAACTTCATACCATAAAGATCCAAACGACCAAGTATTCTAAGGTAAGTTTGTGAGAAAGCATTATATAAAGTCTCTTGGGGTGGGTTGGGATTGGGAGAGACTGTCTAAAATTAGTTCTCTCCCTTCAAGGTTTTGGCTAGTCCTAGTTTACTAAGATTTGTTATCACAGAAAACATGTGTATATGCACATTTTCAACCTTGTTTTACAGCATTATATAAAGTCTCTTGGGGTGGGTTGGGATTGGGAGAGACTGTCTAAAATTAGTTCTCTCCCTTCAAGGTTTTGGCTAGTCCGAGTTTACTAAGATTTGTTATCACAGAAAACATGTGTATATGCACATTTTCAACCTTGTTTTACAAACTTTCCTAAGTATCCTTTTCAGAATTAATTTTGTACAAACTTGATTAAATTTTTCCCTTTCTCTTTCTATTCTCTGTTAAACCCTAAGGGATTAAGAGCATTAGTCTTCCAAAAACTGTTTTCTAGTGTTTCCAAATACCCACACCAACTGCTTCACCTCCCCCAGTTCTAGTCAGCGATTGCTCATGAAAACAAAACAAAACAAAAACAACACAATAATTATGGGTGGGCCTCATCTAAACATACAAGTTGAGTTGTAAGAGATCAAAAGTACATATACTATTGCATCAAGTCATGTTCATCTGGCTGCCAGAACATGCAGAGCTATGTTATTCATTCATTATTCCTATAATCCCTGATATTTTATCCATTACAACCACCTATTTCAACAACCTCTTCTTTCCCATAGACCCACATTCCTCTCCTTCCAAAAATTCTTTATTCATTCTCTTTTTCTTATTCCAGTTTTGCCAAAAGGAGTGGTCTTTCCCTTTCAGTTTTTAATTGTGCTTTATTTTACTGGGAAGGGACACTAGAGAAAGATGGAAAGTAATGTCAACTCCCATACATACAATCTTGTGATGAACATCAATTCCATATAAGAGCAACAAACTTTACTAAAGTAAAACTCCGTACTTTGGATGAGCCACTCAACAAATAACTTTTCATCTCATGCAAAGGATGATGAGAGAAAGGGAAACATGCAAACAGCAGACAGCACAAAGTGATATTCACCCTAATGCACAAATCGTCATTTCCAATCCTCTGAAGATTACTGTTCCTGTGTTCCTCTCGTCTCTCTTCCACCGATGTATAAACTAATGTCACAATCGTACCAAGTAACAGGCATGCAGACTTCAAAAAGGGCTATTTGATAGGAAATTCACTATTACACATAAAGAGTACCATTTTTACTTTACTTTAAAAAATTGTCAGCTTTTGTAAAGCCTAAACTTAAAAGTGGGGTCTTAATATCCCAGCATTGACCTGATAAAAGCATACTTTCCTAGTATCCCTGATATTTTCATTAAT